GACAGCGGCCCAACACCCCGCAGCAGCCAGCAGCGCCCGTGCACGCTGCGCGCTGCACGTGGCAGGCTGCTGGCCGAGCCCAGCCGATCCCCGGTTCTGTCGGACCGCAGTCCGGTCCAGACCGGTTTAGACCGGCTGGACCGGTTCAACTTCATTTTCATCTGGTTCAGCCCATTTTAGCCCGGTTTATCATTTAAGGTCATTTTCAGTAAATTTTCGAAATTAATTCAGTTCAGTAAATTCATGTCCAGTCAGTTCCGGTTATTCCGTATAAGTCTAAAAATCATATTAAGTTAAATAGAGCATCTTAACGAAATTAATCAGTTAAGTTACCAGTCTTAGCATAGTCAATAGTAATTGTTTATATTATTTTCAGTTTGAGCAGGCATCAGCACTACCTTTCAGTTCAGCAGTTCAGGTGGGGACTCAGACTAAGTACTACATTGTTTATAATTACGCTACCATGTTCAAGGTATGTATATTCAATATCCGCTCGGAATAGTCGCCGGTCCATTCTGGGTTCTAGTGGCCTAATCTAACCACTAGAGTGTGCACATGGTCCGGTATTAGTTTGTGCCGGGAGATTGCGATATTAGCTTGTGCCGACAGATTCAGCTATCAGTTACGTGACTTACGTCGCGAGTTCAGACCGGTATCAGATATCAGTTTCAGTTCAGTTATATATGCTTAGTTCATGATATTGTTATTATTTACAATGTTTTACATTAGTATGAGTTTCCACGGAGCACAGTGCCATAGTGCTCACTCCCCAGTTTTATCATGTTTTTCAGGTCAGGATGTCGGGCCGGGAGCGTGACGTGACGTGACGGGACTTCAGGATATTTATATGTTTTGGACTGTATAAATATGATTATGACTTACGCTTCCGCTTATGTTATTTTGATGACTTGTGATGATGTTTTGATGACTTTTGACGTACTCGTTTGACGAACTCATCACTTTAACGAACTTTTAAAAAATTAAGTTTTCAGTAACCGGATGTTCTTATTAAAATTAAATCAACGGTTTTCTAAGTTAAAGTCACGATTTTAAAAGGTAGCACCCCGAACCAGTTTTCGCGAAGTAAAAAAGGTTTTATTTTTAATAACTTTGCGAAATTAGCGCTACTCTGATTTTATAGTAAGGAGGGGTGTTACAATTGGTATCAGAGCACGTTTCTGCATCTCTGATAAGTTTTTCAGTCAGTAATTTTTCAGAAAACCTGAACCGTCATGCTCACGCCCCGCCGACGACAGGTAAGTGCTGATTCAGTTTTTCAGTTATAAACATATTACTTTGTCTATGCTTAGAATTGAGGATCAGGACTTTAGTTAAGATGCTCGAATCAGATTCAGACCTTAGAGTTCGGACATGACTCTAGAATTCAGGCATTCAGATATGACTCTAGACGTTAGGATTTTCCTATATGAATCTAGAGTCTTTCAGGTTTCATGTCAGTATTTATCGGCCATTTTTGGCAACTCGTCAAGAGATCTGTATGCCTCAGTAATCAGTCAGTAATGTTATAACGTATTCAGTAATGTTAAATTTTCTGAATGTTCAGATGCCGCCACGTAGGGAGCCCGATCATCAGGTTCCTACTCAGGCTACGGTAGTCGCTCAGTTCCGCGACTATCACGCCGAGAAGTTCTCAAGACAGGGAGACCCTCGCATCGTAGATGAATGGATTCAGGGGTTAGAGTTTATCTTTGAGGTCATGGAATGCCCCGATAGGTATCGCGTAGTTTGCGCACAGCTTCAGCTCACTGGTGATGCAAGGCTCTGGTGGAATGCCTACTGGAGCATGCGTCCTGGTGAAAAGGCGGGTTGTACATGGGACATGTTCAAGAATCTAGTCCGTGACAAGTACTACCCTTCCTACTATCGGGCAGAGATGGAGCGCCAGTTCTTAGCGCTTCAGCAGGGCACTCGTACAGTTGATGAGTACGAGCGAGAGTTCACTAGGCTTGCAGGTTTCGCACCGGATCTTGTTCGCACGGAGGCCCAGAGAGCGCAGCGGTTCATTGACGGACTTTACCCAGCAGTCCGTCATAACATCGTGGGACACGGGACTCAGACGTACGCTCGTGCCATTTCTATCGCCCAGGAGGTGGACGCTAGTATCAGGAGGGAGGCAGTTCGTGATCGTGCCCAGCCATCCGCCCCAGCTCAGCCAGTTGCAGTTCCACCAGCTCTACCAGCCCCTCAGCCAGCAAAGAATAACAAGAGGAAAGGGAAAGGGGCCCCGACAGATAAGAGGACCCGACGGAGGCTACAACAGATTCCACCATGCCCGACTTGTGGTCGACTTCACAGGGGAGAGTGTCGTGCAGGACAGGATATCTGCTACTATTGCCAAGAGCCGGGACATTATGCGAGTCGCTGCCTGAAGAGATTCCAGCAGCAGCCTCAGCAGCCACTACAGCAGCAGCAACCACATTAGCAAGCACAAAGGCCACCTCAGCAGCAGCAGCAGCAGCAGCAGCAGCAGCAGAGGGGCAGGCAGCAGGCCAGGGTTTACGCAGTCGATGAAGTGGAGGCAGCACAACAGCCAGGTACCATGTCCGGAATGGTTGTTCTCAATGATATTCCTGTGTTCGCTTTGTTTGATACTGGAGCGACGCATACCTTTATTTCACGACGGTGTCTCGACGCCATCGGAGTTCAAGCCGTTACCGCTATCGATCCTCTCGAGGTGAGTTTAGCCTCGGGACGAAAGATAGTGACCTCAGTTAAAGCCTCAGCTCTTAGCCTTTCCATCGGTGGCCGAATATTGACTGCCGACGCGTTTGTTCTCGAGATGAAGGATTTCGATCTTATTCTCGGGATGGATTGGCTATCTTTCTATCATGCTGACATCAGGTGTCATGACCGGGAGATTACTCTCTATCTTCCGGAAGACGAGTCGATTACTTTCTTCGGCTCTAAGAACCGTTCATGCCTCATGTTATTTCGATGGCGAAAGCCACTAAGTTATTGCGACGAGGCAACTGCCAGGGTTATCTGGTGAGCCTTGTTGACGATTCTCAGAAAGCGCAGACACCTCATGATGTTCCTATTGTTCGCGAGTTTGTTGACGTATTCCCAGACGAGCTTCCAGGAGGACCGCCCAACCGTCAGGTGGAGTTTTCTATCGATCTTATTCCAGGGGCCGGTCCAGTATCTAAAGCCCCATATCGCATGGCGCCTAAGGAGTTACAGGAGCTTAAGACTCAGATTCAGGAGCTGTTACGACTCGGTTTCATTCGACCGAGCGTGTCACCGTGGGGAGCACCCGTTCTCTTTGTTAAGAAGAAGGACGGATCTATGCGCATGTGTATCGACTACCGGGATCTCAACCGGTTGACGATCAAGAATAAATACCCGCTCCCCAGGATCGACGACTTATTTGATCAGTTGAGGGGAGCCTGTGTATTTTCGAAGATTGATTTATGATCAGGCTACCACCAGCTGAAGATTAAGGAGTCAGACATCGCTAAGACCGCTTTCAGGACTCGTTACGGCCATTACGAGTTTGTTGTCATGCCTTTCGGTCTCAGCAATGCGCCAGCAGTTTTAATGGACCTCATGAACCGTATTTTCCATCCATACCTCGATCAGTTCGTTATTGTCTTTATTGATGATATTCTTATTCACTCGAAAAGCCAGAAGGAGCACGAATAGCATCTGAGGGTGGTTCTCGAAACCCTCAGACGAGAGAAGTTGTACGCCAAATTTTCCAAATGCGAGTTCTGGCTTCAGCGAGTATCTTTTCTGGGTCATGTGATTACCCAGGCAGGCATCGAGGTGGATCCTTCTAAGGTTTCAGCCGTGCAGAACTGGTCGACACCGAGGAGTCCGTCCGAGGTTCGCAGTTTTCTCGGATTAGCTGGTTATTATCGCAGGTTCATCGAGGGCTTCTCCAAGATCGCCCTCCCTCTTTCCCAGCTGACGAGGAAGTCTGTGAAGTTCGAATGGACTGACAGATGCGAGGCGAGCTTTCAAGAGCTCAAGAGGAGATTGACTACAGCACCGGTGTTGACTATTGCCGATCCTTCTCGGAGTTTCACTATCTTCAGCGATGCTTCGAGGCAGGGCTTGGGATGTGTCCTTATGCAGGACGGACGGGTCGTTGCGTATGCTTCACGTCAGCTTAAGCCTTATGAGCAGAACTATCCTACGCACGACTTAGAGTTAGCAGCAGTTGTTCACGCCCTGAAGATTTGGCGTCATTATCTTTACGGCGGACGCTGCGAGATATTCACAGACCATAAGAGCCTATAGTATATTTTCACGCAGAAGGAGCTTAATATGAGGCAGCGTCGTTGGCTCGAACTG